CTTGCTCACCACTGAGCAGTCACGTGACTACGGCGTGGTTGCTGTGCCGCAATCCTTCAACTGTGCCGCTTGATCCTTCAAAGTGATTACGCTTACCCCCGTCTCCCCCTGGGTGCAGATCGTAACACCTAGGTACGCTAGAGGCGTTAGGTAAGCTCCTTAGTGTAGTGTTTTAAGAGTGGCAAAAAGAGTATAACATCTAACAGCTATAAACTGTGTGTAGAATGTAGTAGGTATACTATAACTATAATGCGTTTGGCTTTACAATACTCTAAAAAATCTAGCGTAAGGTAGCTAGCGTGGCCGTTAAGGATTAGAAGGCGCTATTGCTGGCGAGCTTTAGCTGCTGTGAAGCGTTCAAAGACCTGTTAAAGCCAGGCAAGTCCCAAATTATTATTTAACCATCCCGAAGCCGAGTGGGATACAAAGATTAGTGTTGTTCGGCCAACAGGTCGTCAACCTAGCTTAATTAAACCCCGGAGATGCCCTAATAGATAAGAGCGGGCGGCAATGCCTCTCTAGAAGCGCATACGCAAGCCGGCAGCGTTACCTATTCTCTGTTGCCATCCCTTATTGCCGCAGTACGCTCTCCTAACTTATAAACTGCTTTAGAGAAGATCCTCTTCCTGCGGTAGGCAATGCTGATAAAGAAGCCCTTCTTATCTATATTGTACGTGTTGCGCTCTTTAGTCTTATGTTCTTGTATCTTAGAGTGCAGCAAGTTAAAATACAACTTGTATTTACGCTTGTTGTTAGCAAAGTAACGCTCACGATCTATACTGGTGTCCTATTTTAAAATAAGCTTATCGGGATAACGGTGTTGAAACTGGGCAACCTAGCTATCTAAAACCTTATGCTGCGCAACTGCGCTGCTAAAATTCTTTAAAATAGACCTTGTAGGTGGTACTCCGTCTCTTGTTTGCCCTTCTACGAAGCTAATAAGCTTATCCTCTTGTTGTGGATTAAGATTTTGTTGATGTTCGGCTGCCTCTGTGCCCCAGGGTTGTTGTGTGCCCTGGTGCCTCCGCGATAACGTCGTTCAATCAACTCCGAATATTTTTACAACTTTTTAGTACGAGAAATTATCTCCAGCCTTACATAATTTAATATATTTAATTGCTTCTTGGATCGGGTCTATAGTTGTGGAGTTATGACGCGTTGCAGTTGGGATAGTTCATGAGGTTGCGGGGCTTCGGGTGGCTCGTTGACTGAACTGGCTCGTTGGGTGCGCACGGACTGTAGTGGGGTAGAGCGAAAAGCGTTATTTTGCTTAATTGCGATGCAAAACAAAACATAGTAACACATAGAACCACATTACCTAGCCGCTAGAGGATACGTCACGAGTCAGATTGGACACTGCACAGGAATCTTGATTGGTAGTAGTCATAGTATTAGTCGTAGTATTAGTCGTGGTACTGGTCAAAGTAATAGTCGTGGTATTAGTCACAGCAGTTCACCCCACCATCCACCTTCGCGAGATGCATTAATATCATAATACAACAACGTCCGCTCACTCCTCGAATGATTCGTCATACTTTCTCAGCACACTAACGTAGTCGTAGCCATCGCGCAAGTCCTTGCTGGTGTAGATTCCCTTAGGACGACCAACCCAGATGTTGCGAGGTAGAAAACGGCGGGGCTCACCAATATCGGTTGGCCGATCGAGAAGGAAATCGACCAGACTGTTAATACGCATAGTCGTTTGATCGCCCCACATGTTGACCCAGCAGAAGGATTCCTCACCATTGCACTTCATGATGCCCGATATCCGAATTCCCAGTCGCCGCGCAGGGTCGTTGACGAGGAAATAGCAGCCCCGAACGACACAATGGGAATGCATCTCTCCTTCTGGTGCGAGTTCACACTTCACACGAATGGTCGACTCGTCCCATCGTCGCCAGAAAGTTGTTCCAAAGAGAATGTATGCATAGTGAATAGTGAACATGCGATCTTCTCCTGCTCCCTTCAGAGTGCCAAAGCTGGGACCAAACGTTCCTCGGTAGATGTCCCCACGGAGCAAGCTTTGGCGTTTAGCATCTCTGTCGGACCACCAGCGGATGTCTGTGCTACGGTTCCTCATCTTTTCAAAGTATGCTTGCTTGATGGGATCGGGGGAATTCTTGAAGCGGTAGTACCCCATGTCGGGAGATTCTCGGAATGTAAGACCTTGTGCCAGAGGGTTTCGAACATTGGCTCCAAGCCCCAATTCGGAGTCTGCTATGCCCCTACCTCCTTCAGGAAGCATGTCCTTCAGGTCTGATTCCTGGAGTGACCGGAAGACTAGTGCTTGCCAAAGCTCCATGATGTTCAAAAGTCCTGCTGGGAGGAAATGAGGCACGAAAGCAGGGTCCAGCCAGAAGATCTCCTCTGCTATCTCGTGGTACTCGTAGTGAAGCGAGGGATGGGATTTTCGGTATGTCGCAGATTCGTGGTTGTGGTGTACGCGATGGTTGCAATTTATCGATTGACCAACATAACGACGCCACGAAGAAGAAGGAATCCGCATTATTCCGATGTACAGACCTGGGCCGAACTGCAGATGCGAGACGGCTTTCTCTCGCAGACTACAATGTAATTAGTACGGTATTAGTACTGTATTAGTACGGTATTAGTATAAGGATAGTGAAGTGATGATGCTGCTGTGTATGTTCGACACATACTGCTCATGGTCGTACAACAATCCGTCCTCGTAGTACTGGACAACCCACGGCGCGATCATATCTTTGCATTTCGTGATGGCGTCCTGAGGATCAGTAGTAACCGTCTGGTACAGCCCACGCTTGCTGCTGCTGTCCATCCACCTCGTCGGGATGATCTCGCGAATAACGTGCTCCAGGATAGTGTGAGGGTGATATTGAGGGTCGGGAGTCACCTTCTTCTGCTTCGACTCAGGTTCAGTTGTTGGGAGGTCAGCGGCGCGCTTCTTATCTGAGGACATCGCTATGTAGTCGAGACCGGTACGGTCGACATACGAGGTGTATCATGGATGAGAGAGTTGAGACCAAGGTCGAGGTTTGAAGATCTGAAGGTTTGCCACGAAAATTTGCGCTCCTTCCTCACTCATTACCTACGTGGTAGGCACGATCCATGAGGTAGGAATCCTAGACACGGGCAATAAAACAGAAATCCAGATACCATATGACTTATTAAGCTATAAATCGATAAGCTATAGGTTCTTCGTAGTTGCCATGATGTTCTTACTCACCCATACCCAATACTCTTCTCGAAGGCTTTGGACCGGTCTGAGTGCTAACTAGGCAGGCCTTGCAGGACGTTTACCAGCTCGGAAAGTAGGCTCAGGGTCCTCGAGAGCGCGCTTACGCCTTTCGAGCATATGTGCACGGCTCGCCTTGAAGTCATGCGCCTCAACAGCTTGCTGCCATCGACCCAGCTTTTTTCCACATCCCATCGCTGTTTCGATGTCAGATGGCAATAGCGTGTCTCTCTTCGCATTCACCGTGCAGAGGGTGGCAGCTATTGATGTTAGGACTAATACCAGACTAATACTATAGGGTCTGACCTACCTTCCAATACGCAGACTAAGTAGTCTTCGGCGACGTCCTGGACAGCCTGGAGGGCGGAGATTTGCCATCGAGTAACGTCGCTGCTGATGTCCATGGCGATCTCGCGGACGAGTCTCATGAAGACGATACGGGGCAGGAGCAAACCTGGCTGAATCTGGTAGTGACGGACTTCCTGAAACCAACGGGCTAGGTAATAGTCAGTAATAGTCTAATATTCATTCGTTTATAGACGTACGGATTTTCTCAGTAGGTGCAGGAGCCTTCTTTGGGTCGAACAAGACAGCCCTTGCCATGCGGCCTTGAAACAATTTCTTGTCGTGTTCATTGGTGGTGGGGGCTCGCTGAAGGACCTTATGGTTTCTATGACGTTGTGTTCGCATCTGACGGACCGAGAGAGGATCTACCTGGGCTGATCGTGGCGGAAGTAACGGAACATCGGCCAAGTTTGAGGCGATCATCTCGAAGCTTAGCTTGGGGCGAGCAGGGCGGTCGAAATAACAACCCGGGAGAGTCTTTCGAGCTCCACTAGGGCTAGCATGGGTACCAGGATCTGGTGCGAACTGTTGACCACACACTGAACAGAGTTAGCACAAGACTAATACCAGACTAATACTAGACTATTACCAGCCACCAGACTAAATAAAACTGATGTCGTTCTACTTACACTTTCGAAAGATGTCCATAATCGGCGTAGTTGTGGAAGTAATGTCTAGTAAGGGTGTCGGTAGTGTTATTTAGCAATATAAGATTGTGGGTAGAGGTAGAGGAGAGGAACGATGGAGGTTGAGGATTGTAGACGACCTGCCAAGACATATTGTAAGCAAGAGCGTGGCGGTAAAGGCAGAATCAGAGGTGAAGGTAAAGGTGAAGGTAACGGTGGAGGTAGAGGTGATGGTAAAGGTAAGAAGGAAATCCAATATCGGTAATCCTACAAAAACGCAGCTGCAGAGGTTTGCTCGTATATTACTACAACTAATTTTACACTCACAACAGCAAGGTAAAGGAGAATATATTGTAATTAAAAGGACTAAAACTAGCATTATAACATCTGCTAGCAGGTTCAGCAAGTAAGAGGGCACGGAAGCGACTTCGACAGAGGTAAGAGAGAAGCAGGGCGGGATTATATTCTGAATAATAAGTGAAGGTAGCCAGCACGAGACTTTCTTACGTCAGAGTGTTAGGCAGCCGCCGTTCACATGGAGGTAACGGTAGAGAAACTGGTATTCACCGCCCAAATGTGGAGAAACCACGTGGGAAAGACTAGCAGCCGCTAGCGCTACTATATAGTACGAGCGTTCTCCGTCCCTCCATCTGCTACGACTCCTCCATCCCAGTTCTCGAACACACCACGCCCTCACGAACTATTACCGAGACCGCCCAGACTAATACCCGAGCTTCTCATCCACACTCTACGCTACAAGATGGCACCCAAAACCAAGATCACGCCAAAGCCAAAGAAGCCTGCGCCAGAGCCTATATCTGACGAGCCTCCCAGCGATGAATCCCCATCCGAGGATGAGTTCGAGGACAAGGAAAAAGACCCAGCTAAGAACACATCTGGACCCAGAACGTACTCGCAGAACAAGAACACTATGAAGAACCAAAAGAGAAGACAAGAAGCCACAGGCACACACTTGAAGGAACTCAAAGCCCAGACTGCGAGCAACACTGTAAGTCAACCGGTGTAATACGAAGACTATTACTAACAGAGGTAATAGGCTATATCGAAGTTCGTCAAGGTCGTTGTCGATGCTGTTCGTCCGCTAGTCGAGAACAGCTTCACTGAATCGGAGCGGGCCGAGATAGAAAAAGCCGTTAAGATCCAGGCCAAGAATGTCCAGCTTGCAATTCAGTACGTGCGAACGCCAGTCTGGCATTGAATTCACTAACCAAACAGGTTTGCCAGCGGTCGCCACCCATCGCAGGTCTTCGGCAGCAACCCTAGAGCCAAGAGAACGTACCTTGATAGCCCTGACAAGTACTATGCCAGACAGCTTATCGTCTTTGTCAACTTGATGCCGGTCACCCCAGAGTTCACGCATAAGTATCCTGGCGGCTGGAATGCCCCTGACTGTGTTGTGCCTTACGCGAAAGACACATACCATGTTGATAATGGTCTCATGAAGAAATTGGCCGCCGATACAGACGCTGACTTCGATTGGGATGATACGGAACTTTCGAACCGTAAGCTGGGTATTAGTCCAAGTAATAGTCATTGACTAACAACAATTGTAGTTGGACAACCAATCACTGATGAAGAAGTCGAGGCTATCACGTACGAGATGAACGAAAATGCTGCTGGGCGCATCTCCAAGCAGCTGTGGGCCGAGGTCCAGGCATATTGGGCGATTGTTGCTCGAGGTGCAGCGCACAAGTTCAACCTCTTGGAGCGTTCGACCTGGGACGAGTACGTGTATATGATGACGAACGGTCGGTTCAAGGTTTGTGATATATGCTAAACTACTTCACCAACCACGACTGAGAAAGTTTTAGACGTATCTTCGGTACCTCGACCCCTCTCACACCGGCAAAGATGAAGAGGATCTGTCGATTGAACCGCAGAACAGAGTAAGTGGGTAATAGACTAGTATTAGCCAGGACTAACAGTGAAAGGCTGCGGCGATCCGTGAAGCATATAATACGAGCATATTCCATGGCCACTCTGGCGCCAAGATCATGGAGATTGATGGCGACTCCAACCTACCAATCCCACCAATATCCGTCGCGTTCTCCCGCATAGAGCGTGTCTGGATTGGCATCGTATTCCTCGCGCAGAAAGAAGGACAATTTGTGGACAATGCCATCCAGGTCGCCGTCAAGAACCACCCCCTTAGTCTACCAGCTCCCTTCGATGCTCAGAGACTCGATCCTCGTCGTTTTGCGGTTGAGTCTATTGAGCCTGATGAGGCTTGCAAGTTTCTCGTGGAGATTTGCCAGGAAGATCCCCCTGCCGACGAAGACGACCTCAAGTTTTTCACTAAGATGCAGGATAGAGGTTTGGATTTGGAGAGAGGCGATGACGACAAGTGTGAGTTGAGGATTGGTGCAGCGGTAGTCTACAACTGACCTATATATAGGGGATGGCGCGCCTGCTGCTCATCTAGACCTTGGTAAGAGTAACACCAAAACAACTAGGAATCTCAGCTAATTTATCCTTATAGAGAAATACTATCCCGGTATGTCCTCGGAGAACTGGACCGACGACGACGACGACGCGTCGGGGTGCTACTATGGCCTACGTGATGTGCTTGACGATAGCGTCACTAACCCAACGTATATCTGTAAGTTGGTATTAGTCTGGTATTAGTACAATGCTGACCCAATCAAGCCAGCGACAGTGACGACAACGGCGACAACGGCGGAAACAACGCCAGCGTGGATATCTTGGCAGGTCTCGATACAGGTCATGACAATGCTCAGACCGATGGCAAGACAGGAGGCGGCAAGGAGAGGGATAGCGGTTAAGCGGCCGGATACTCTGACGGCACCTCACGAAATGAGGTTGGCGGTCAGGCTACCAAAGCTCACACTGCCAAACCTAACGATTTCGAGGGAAGGTAGACGTTGAGTGACAGACGATGGAGTCTTTGATCTGGCTGCAGAGACGTAGTCCTCCTGGACAAGCAAAATGGGAGGCCTTTCATCAACATGAAGGCAGAAAACTGTAGATAGGGTGTAGGCCATAGGCTCCCTGATCAACAATCTACTTGAATCAGGTTCCTTGGTCGTTTTCAACATTTGAGCCCTCCTCTGCACACCTGCCGTGCGTCACTCAGCCACCTCTTTAACCTCACCTCTTAGTGATATGTAGTCGCGCAGACACATCGTTTTTCTTGCGCACACTACAAAACCAGTTGAAACTGCTGTTGTGCTTGATTGATGCTAATCAGAAAATTTGTAGTGTAAATATTTACAGTTTAAATTAAGAAAGTGCCTGATGGTCCAACCTGGCATGTGGGACTGGTGAAAATTTTGCCGGCCAGAAAACGAAACGGTTGAGTGTTGAGTTTGGGTGGTGGGGTAAAACTCGACCCAGAAAACTCTGCGCTTATCGTTCCTTCTCCTGCGCCCACCGCTTTTGGTTCAATCATATTCGATATATTGTTTTTAAATCATGATTTTATATCGGTCCTGTAGTGTATGTTTTCCAACTTCGCACTTCTCGCTTGCCCCCGCTAATAACCATTCTAGGTAGCGGTTATCACTCCGGATTCTGATCTCAAAATCAGTGTCTTCCGGCAACCCCGGTTCGATTCCGGGCAAGACCTTTTTTTTTTGCAAACGTGTGTTCTTTTTGCTTCCTTTTGCACATGGCAGCGTTGTAGCGCGCACTTGGGTGTGGGTGGACATGCGGCGCGTCATCTGCCTGTGTGACGCGAAGCGGTGCTTTGGGCACGAAGAACACCATTTTGACAACAGCCCTTCGAACATGGAATTTAAGATTTTTGTTAGGCCTTCTACTCATAGGTGCGCATTTATACAGACAGTGTATTTGCTAGAGTGTGATTAAAGTCTTGCGTACAAATCAATAAGAACGAGCGTCTTTGTGGCGTGTAATAATTGCAAAGACAGTTGATCGTTGCTTCCGTTTTCGAGACACTGAATACTCAGTTCAACAGCGCATCTCAGCATTGAGTAATAAACACAAAAACTCAAGAACAATACAACATTTGCTCTGGTCGCGATGAGCCGAGTCTGGAAGCATCACGCTGTAGTGCAATAGAGGAGTAAGATATGCTCGGTTGATATAACAGTACAATGCTGTTGTGTCATTGGTCTATTTCCCTTTCAAGCTTTACCGCTACTACCACAAATGTCCATCCACCTCTCCGTCTCCTTTTGTATGACCTCTATCTGCATATCAATCAACTTCGCTAGGGAAGTAGTTGGCGCGTGCTTCCTCAGCACTTCATTCCCCACCTCAAGTAGAAGCTTGTTGACATTCAGCTTGATTGCGCCAGATCGTATACATCTTTGCATGACTTCAGCAGGAAAGTCATTGGTGCCGTGTAACGCGACCAAGACGCGCTTGTTTATCTGCTTGTCTATCGCTTCGAGGCGGTCGTAGTGTAGTTGTCCCTCCTTCGGACCAGCGGGGCCGTAATCGCCGTGTACGTTTCCGATCGATGGGGCTAATACATCGATACCGGCGTTGATGAAGTTGTCGACATCTTCAGGCGATGTGAAGAGCGCTGTGCAAAGTCAGAAACGGAGGAAGTTTATGATGGTCGTCAGTCTAACGGCATACCTTCAAGATCTCCTGTATCGGCGATACCATCTTCGCCACCTTCTATCCGCCCGCTCTCTGCTTCTACAGCGATGCCTTTGTCATGACACTCCTTGGTCAGTATCCGAGTCTTCTCTAGATTCTCGGCTTCATCGTAATGCGACATGTCGACCATGACTGAGTCGACCGGTAGCGTCGCGATGATCTCTCGGATGTGCTCCACATTCTGAGCGTGGTCGATGTGTAGAGATAGAGGTACTGCTGCGGTTTTTACGGCATGCGCGGCCGCATGGGCGAGAAGGGGCAATTGCTTGAGGGTCGATGGGAATAGCTGAATTATCAAGGGCGATCGCTTCGATTCCGCCGCGCGAACGAGGGCTGTCAATTGCTCAACGTTGTAGCTGGAGACAGTCAGAATTGTGAGTGACGTTTACAGTAGCTTCGTACGCGATTGCAGCCATTACGCCATAATTGCCTTTTGCAGCGGCATTGAGTATTGCTAGTGTTCGATTGTCTTTGGTGACCGCCATGATGGATGGTAACAATATGCACTTTGAAATGTCTCAAATGTTTACTGATGTGCAGTGCTTGAAAGACATCGAGCGCATAGAGTTCACGCGATCGGAACGGTTTCGGAACCGATGTTGTATTGTTTCTCTGCGGCATGTTTGGTTCGGGGAAGCCGCGGCCCTCAGGCTCATTGATTGGTGGTCGTGCCGAGGATCAAGTATGACGTTGCGGAGAGGCGAACGGTACGTCGGCCGGCTCACTGGGCCCCAGCCGACGTGCCTCGTAACGAGGCACACGTTCGACTGAACAAGGTGATTAGTATTCTATCATGCACCCCGCTTCTACCCCACGATGCAGGGATTTATGCCACGGCTGAGCGGTCTCCACATTGTGAGTTTTGTGGAGAAAGTACACTCGAATTCAGGGCGTTCTCCGTTGCGCACCGACCCACAATAGCCTCGCTACGTGGTTCTTTTGCACCGTTTTGCTTTTTCGGAGTTGTGTACAGATGAGGCCTCCTTCATAGAACCACTGCGTCACAGTGGAGCCAGAGCGATGGGCCAAAAGTCCGTTGCATACGGTTCGATGGATGCAATGATAAGAAATTGACATGCATATGTGGAGAAAGGTTCAGATAGGATGACTGTATTCGGTACGATCGATGGAAGGTCATGCTTCAGCCCGCCAATAGCTGGTAAGATCGTTGAGTAGTGTCTTCGGTGGGAACTTGGTGACATCGAGCGTCTGGTCGAGGAGGTTCAAGATAGCTGTTTGCTTGACGGGTTCTTGAACGCATAAACCAGCTGAATAGTGTAAGCATTATTTCGAACAACATGCGTGATGATATAGGGCTTACCAGCATAGATGGACTTGAAGTTCACCATGGCACTTGGAATTTCTCTGCCTTGGTGTGCCATCGCAATGCCACAGATCATGTCTACGCTTTCGTCCAGGCTACGTTGTCGAATCCGGAATTCGTCGACACCTCCCATTGAAGGCTGGTTGATGAGAACTATGATTCTCGCAAAGTGAAACGTTTGAACAGCAGCTGCGTACGAAGGAGGGTGAATCCAGATGGGCGCAAACATGGCGCCAGGTCCAGGTGGCGGTCCTCGGTGAATGGGATGGAAGGATACTGGGAGCGCTCGATGCCAATCTTCCAGAGCTTGCAGGAGCTTTCCGGCTTGGTCGATGCGAGTGTTCAGGTCGTACTTCTTTTCGTTTGCGGCAAAGTCTACACATCGCCCACATATGTACACAATCCGCAAAGCCAATTCGTCCGGGCTTAGGTCCATCAAACGCTTGGTCGGTCTCCAAATAGTTAGAACGCGACGTCCTTCGCGGAATGCGACCCAGGTATCTTGACGTATCCATTGCCACCAGGCAGCTCTCCGAAGTGGGTCTTTGGACTCTCCGTTGTTGTTTTGGCTCCTCTGTATCCAGAATATACCACGCAAATGTCTCTCCCAGGCTCCGTTGCTGTATTGGCCTTCAGAGTCCCACATCTCATAGGTACTAATGAGAATAGATGTTGATATAATCTCCCTAGACCTATTGTAGGAAGGGTAGAAAAGATTCTTCGACAGGTACTGCAAAGTCTCATAGTAATATTGTGTTCCCGCCTGTAGCAGAGGACTTTGAAGGTTCCTCATCCTGCCGTCGTCGCCGTCCGGGGATGGGTCTTGTATGTTTAACCGACAGATTTGTGGCTCATTCAGGAGTGCCATGTGCCGTGCCGACACAGCGAGTAGAGACTTCATGAGGCCTACATTATGGACAGCCAGAGAAGGAACAGTTTCCGTAAACTGCCTGGAGGGGTCGTTCAGATCCAAAATAGGACCAATCACAGCAATATAGTGTTGAAAAAGCACGAGCTCATCGTCAGACATGGGTATGGGGTTGATTGAGTTCCATTGCTCATGTGCCGACGATTCGGCTTCTAGTGCTTGCTGGCTTGAGTGTAGCTGCGGGCCTGAACCTGGTGTATCCGCGACAGGACTTGACTGTCTGGACAAATTGTTCCTGTCTAGGTCAACATTGAGGTTGTACTTGTCAATGTTGTTGATGGCATCCTCGGCAAGCAGGTCGTAGTAGGCCAAAGGTGCCGAATTTGGCGACGGCAACGAGTTGATGACGGTCGACGGAGAGTCGAACAATAGCTCAGGAGAATTGTTCCAGAGCTGAGAATCGATATCACCTGGAATTGGTCGTCTAGCAGGCCCTGGCGACGTGGCAGCAGCAGAAGAGCCATCTTGAGCTGGTGAAGTTTCTGATTGAACAGAACCAGACGCATTGCTTCCCGTGCCGCCAATGGGGTCATTTGGCGACGGCCACAGACATTCTCTGTCGGATTTGCTGCATGTCGCACATCGTGGCCTCAGCTCGTCACACTTCACCCTCCTTCGTCTGCAGGTAAGGCTGTCCAAGTTAGCCGGCGGTTAACCAAGAGACCTGCAGCATGTAACCAATACAGAGCTAGCGAACATGACCGTTCAAAGATACAAGGCGGACACGTGCTTGGGGAACAGCTTACCATCCGGTGGTTGTACGTAAGCCCTGCAAGCGACGGAACCGTCGAATCAGTAAAGGCCTCACACCCAGTCAACACAATTAGACTTACTCGCGCTCGAGATGGACGGGGTTTGCGCGGCTTAGGATTGCCTGTTGACGATGCTTGCATTACGAATGATGTTGCGCATGCTGGTGGAACTTCGCTTGGCCCTTGAGGATCCGCTTCGCCGGTTAGGCCTGCCGTGGGGAACGAGGCTGGGGCCAATGGGAAGGACGCTCAACTAGCCCAGGATACCACAGCGCATGCAGAGCCCGGATTTCTGATACCTCGCGGAGTTTTGCAGGATGATCTGACGGTGGTTAGAGAAGGGAATCGTGTTCACTCTGGAAAAGGCCCGCGGCGAATACTCCCTCGAAGGCCCCGCGCCAGTCCAAAGCACTGTCCACCACCGGCTGATTTTGGGAGGCCTAATGTACATGATACAGGTCCTGGAGCATGTCTGATAGAAGAGGAGCAGCAATGTCCACTCGAAGTATCAGTGGATTCACGATGTATACAGGCGGCGTGCAGCAAAGGAGACGTGCTTAGTCAGTTGTGGCTGTTGCGCATCCCGGGTTACAATTTCGTTTTCTTGACGTGTCGCCTCATCCTTCTCACCTGCACGACATGATCGACACCACTACGGACATCGACAACAACATCGCCATGCATCACTTGACATCTTGCAGAGGAGGGAAGCATTTTAATAAACTTTGTTGAATTGGTCCTAACAAAACCAAAGCCAGCCGGCAGTTACAGACTCCACCCAATGCAGTATAACGCGAAGAAGCAACAACAGAACACTTCTACCAGGCGCCGACAATGCCCGCAACTGGGATGTCGATACCCGTAGTGTAGCTGGCACCGTCTGAGAGGAGGTACACATACGCACCGCCAAGTTCACGAGGATCGGCCAATCTAGGCATACCGCCATAGTACTGCATCTTCAAGTTCCAGTCGGGCGCCCTCTCGACATAGTATGTCATCTGTGTGCGTACGAAACCCGGCGATATCGAATTCACACGAATGCCGTGCTTTGCCCACTCCATTGCGAGAGTATGTGCCATGTTGCGGACAGCGCCCTTTGTCCCTCCATATGGTGCTGACGGTGCTGCCCTGTTTGGCCGGTACGATGTCATGGACGCTGTGAAGACGATCGAACCCTTGATACCAAGCTCGATGAATTTCTTCGCGGCTGCCGTTGCGCAAAAGTACGCGCCAAAAACGTTTAGGTTGAAAAGCTGTTCGAGCTGTGGGCGATCGAAGTTGAGTGCGGGCTGATGTTTGGTCATTCCTGCGTTGGCGATCATGCCGTCGATACGGCCCGACTGGGCAACAATCTGGTCGATGGCCTTCGTGACGCTTTCTTCAGATGTGACATCGCAGTGCAGGTAGTGTACGCGCTTGAGATTTGCCTTCTGCAGCGCCTGGAACTCCTCACCGGGCTCGAAGAGGTCCAGGGAGTAGACTTCAGCAGCATCGTTGGCGAGGCATACTGTAGCGAGGCCGAGTCCAATACCTGCAAGGTCAGCACTTGTGTCAATTCTCGGTGTTCCTCTCTACCAACCTCTGTTTGCCCCGGTAATAGCGACTACCTTGCCCTTCAGAGTAATTTTCCAGTCAAAATCTTCTTTTGGCTCTGTAGTAAGATAGACAGGATTCTCGACAGTCTGCTCAACTTGACCGTTGTTGGCGTGCCCGCTGGCAGGCGCTGTCTGGTCAGATTGCGGTACGATCGCGGAAGGAGACATCTCCGATTGATTTCTACTGGTGTAGGTTTGGGGAGTGCGGCAGGTCTGGCGAAAGAATGGAAAACCGAAATGATGGAGAGGCAAACACCACCTGGCTGGCACCCCGCATGTTTAAGTACATCTCACACACCCACCCCACAAGAAACTGGTGGCAACGGAGTGTGGTTGATCGGTACCAAATGCTCCCCACGGGCGAGAACGATGCGAGCATGGTCCACAAGGCAGGGATGCTGTAAAGACTCGGTTCAACCATCTTCGCAGGAGCAACGGCCTCGTGGCGAGCTTACGCGCCGACGCGACTTGCACGTGTGATAGCTACCACTTGCCTTCGCTTAGTGGCACAAAGTTCGCCTCGAGGCACACCGTCGGGTGTGCACCGAATTAATGCATGGAACATGTTCTGTCGTGTTCCTCGACCAATCACTATTGTCAAGCTTCCTGTGCAGGCGGGTCTGATGCGGGAACTTCGGCTTGTAGCTCAAGACCTGGGGTAAGAAAAAGGCCCGAACGCAATCTGGGGAGGTCCATGCTGTTTTTGGCAAACATCAAAACCTGAGGGCAAGATACGTTTCCACTATAAAGCACCATGGGTGTCGCACCCATCTAGACGTATCGGCGACTGCTATCGCAATACTATACAGCCTGTCGTTTCAGGCTCCGCTTCGTTGCTTCCATATCCGTCCCGCTTCCGTCGTTTCGCGCTCAGGAACACCATGTCGTCGACACGCCACTCTCTAGAGCCTATAGATGTGAAAGAGATGGACGCAACGAAGCATGTAGAGATCGCTGAGGACTTCACATGGACGAAAGAGGAAGAGAAAAAGCTGGTCCGCAAAATTGACCTCTTTTTGCTCCCAACAATATGGTTGATGTACCTGCTATCATACATGGACCGCACAAAGTATGCTTATCTCGAAATGGCGTGACAGACGATGCTAACGAGTTGCCAGTATCGGAAATGCGAAGATTGCCGGTATGGCTGACGATTTGCAACTCAGCTCCGATCAATACTCCATCGCTTTGGTTGTATTCTTCGTGACCTATGTCGTCTTCGAGCCGCCTTCCAACATGCTCCTGGTCCGCCTCAAGCCGTCCATCTACCTACCTGTCATCATGATCATTTGGGGGGCTTTGACCTGTTGTATGGCTGTCATCGATGACTTCAAACACCTTGTCGTACTCCGAATCTTCGTTGGTGTCTTCGAATCGGGTTTCGCGCCAGGAATTATCCTCATCATATCGTCCTGGTACAAGAAAGACGAGCAATCGAAACGCTTCGGTGTATACATGTCGGCTGCGATCCTCAGTGGCGCATTTGGTGGTCTTCTTGCGGGCGCAATAACCGGCGGTATGGAGGGCACGGCTGGTCTTCGCGGATGGCGATGGTTGTTCATCGTGGAAGGAGCCGCAACCATTGTATGGGCAATGGTGGCATACTTCATCTTGCTGGACTTCCCTGCTAACACAAAACGGCTCACTGATCGAGAGCGAGCTATCGCCATCGCTCGTCTCCGAGAAGGCGGAGTCCGAACACACGTTGAGGGTGAGGAGAGGATGGGCAAGGCAAAGTCTTTCCGTCTTGCTATCATGGACTGGAGGACCATTTCCTTTATCCTTGGCTACATGGTAAGTCCATTAATGTGGATCATAGAGCACTCGTCTAACGGTGTCAGGTTATCGTTGGCTCTTCTACCCTCTCGTACTTCTACCCGACCCTGATGACTGGGCTTGGCTACACGGACACAGTAACAGCCCAGTACATGACCGTCCCCATTTATGCCGTCGCCTTTGTTTGCACAGCGGTCACTACCTACTTCGCCGACGCCATTTCTCACCACCGAGGCCTCGTGATCGCAAGCTGGCTCGGCTTTTCCCTCATAACGTCGATTCTCGTGTGCGTAATCTACGACTTCACAGCACGATACGCACTACTTGTTCTCATGGCCGCTGGTCTCTGGGCCTCGAACGCCGTTTCTCTATCGTTCGCGAGCGCAACGTTTGGGTCTATGCAGCCTGAGGTTAGGGCCATCGCGATTGCGCTCGTCAACGCTATGGGCAATCTTGCGCAGATATACGGCGCATACCTGTTCCCCGGCGACGATAAACCAAAGTATCTCATGGGTTTCGGAGTTATCTCTGGTATGTTAGGGTTCGGTGTGGTCGTGTACATCTTCCTCCACGTCGCATTGAGGAGAAAAGAGGGAATGACCGCATTCTTTTGAGACATACCAAAACACTTATTGACAGGAGCTCTGACACGAGTTATGACTATTCATGTTTATAGATTATTATGGAATTCCATTTTGTTGCCAGCCATTACAATAACACTTGCGCGCCACATGTATGCAATTCGACGTACGCAAAAGCTCACATGCTTCTACCCTACATCAACAACACGACGTCGCCCTTGCTTCCATGTATGTGGGGTGACACTGTCACAGCAAGCACCCGGTATATAAAATCAGTCTCCATATCCTATGATACCTCTCTCCACTACCATCTCCGGCATCTTGCAACACACGGGATTATCACGCACACTTACCCAAGATTTACAACAACGTAGGCCGTCATCTTTTAGATCGATCAATAAGTACTATGGGTCTCTTCAATTTCCTAAGAGATGACACCCCGCCCCCACTGTACCAGCATGGCAAGCTTGGCGAACCAGGCTGTCACCTGTCCACCGTACGGCCCAGGAACCCAGATCCTACTGCTCGTGAGAGCAGTAACTATAGCTCAAACCGAAAAGGTTTATTTAAGGCGGAAATGTTTCCAATGACATCATCTTTGCAAGCGCCAAATAGAAGAAACTCAACGGGCGACACCTCTGGATTCGGTTCTGTTGTTGTAGGCCCACAACGTGGCGAGGAAGCCATGCAGGAACTCCTGGGACAGATGAATGAGAGAAGAAGTGGTCATCGTTCAGGGGCGTCTGGTAACTTTCCGGGACCTGAAAATCGAGGAATAAACCCCGGCTTTTTTGGACAGCCCAACCCTAGAAGGACCGGCCGTTCCAGAGATTCATTCATGCAAGGGCCTATGGGCATGGATAGAGGAGGTGGAGGTGGAGGTGGAGGAGGGGCGAGACTTGATGGCGTTGGAAATTCGCATCCCGCTTGGAATATGGATCACGTAAATGGAAGTGCTGGTACAGGTAGCCAGAGAGGACGAGGACCGACAGGTGGTCCTGGTGGTATGGGCGGATTTGAGGCCATGGGGGGTATAGGTTTCGGGCGTGGAGGCATGGATGGATTCGGAGGCACAGGTCGTAGGCGTTGACGGTGAGTTCGTTGGAGATAGTGCAGCCAAGGCATCTGTCGCCTCTATTGATCACATACGAAAGCCTCAATATAAATCTGAATCCGGCGTCTGAATCTCATGCGGCTAGTCCATGGCACTTCCGCAGCCACTAGAAGTCTAGCGCTTTCAAACTAGCAATAGCGAATGCGAAAAGTGTGAAGAGAAAACCTGCAACTGCAAATCCACCCTGTATATCCTGTCTCACGACTGACCACACAATTCCAAAAATCATGCTTGCCAGCGTACCAATCAAGCCTAAAGCAAAGAGCTTGAACTCGTCGATCCCAGTCACGACGTCAATTCCCCAACCAAGGCTGTACGCATTAGCATAAGCTCATTATCAGATCGATTGGTTTGACCTACCTGCTGCCACGTATGGGACAAGGTTCGAGCTTGTCGTTCTTTCGTTTCGGTATGCTTGGTAGTAATACCGGATATGAGGGGCTCTCGTCTGGATGCGTAAAGAAATGCATCAGTAGATTGGGGCCGATTGGAGGAACGGTCTCCGCAGGCATTGGGTAATATTCATACTCGTCCTTGTAAGACTCAGGTGGTATGTCATCAGTCGTGTGAATATCTACGAGCTGATGTTGATACAAACGGAACTGAAATCAGGTGTTAGCCATGAACAGCTTCAGGTATTCCAGAGATCGAAGTAAGGACTTACCTTCACGAACCGTAGGGCAGTTGGTTTCTTGAACGAGAGGAACATCTTGTATCTTCCTTTAGACTGTAGATACCGTTGTTTCAGGAGCTTGAAGAAGTCGAGGTCTGATCGGATCTGGCATGACTGCAGTGGAGACATGCGTACGGCGTAGCGACTCCAAGGTATACACCAATGAATGAAGTGGTGTTTATGCTGTACTGATCCGGACTGCGTTATGCATTGCTTTGTCGCCACGTTATTGGCAGTCGGGTCAGGGGGTTGATGCTGGGGAAGCGGGATATTACTCGACGCTTCGGTACCAGTAAAGTAAGATAAGAAGCGGCGCACGGTAAACGTTGAATAGCTTCGCGGCGAGTGCTGTGAGGCAGCTTGCTGATACATTTGCCGCACAGAGAGCAACCTCAGTTGTCGCGACCGGTTATAAGCACTTTCTGCAGACAATGGTGCGTAGTTGTCGACGATGGTTTTCCCACATGGCTATGAAAGGTCAGCTGCATGGGTGCAGTTGTGGTAGGAGGTCAGAAAAACTTACACAATCATAACTAATCGTGTCATACACATCTTTACGTAGGTTACCATCGGATGGAGTCTGAGCATTAAGCCCTTGCTGCCATACAACACACCCAGACTTCCTTCGATTCTTATGTGGAAGACCGGAAATTGTTCTTGCGAGCGTCAAAAAAGCTTCGCTTGAGCATACAAACGTCTCGAAAGACTCGATTTCGGTCTGGCTATATGTTGTGGTTCCCGAGACGTATCCGTATGCCAAACAGCTATCGATGCCTGGTATGAGTGGATAATGATGCCATGAGGGTATTTCGCTCGTCCAAGACGTCATGACTCTCATGATAAGCTGGAATGGATGTTGACGAATTTTCTTCAAGCCAGCACGATCAGAAGCTGAGAGCTTATGTTCTTCTGCCTCGAGTTCAAGGCAGAAAAGAAATCGACTTAGGTGTGCGCGTCGCACTTCTGCCCACTTATCCTCGAAACGATGGGAAACCGCTTTTGGTGGATGTATGTTCCGCAGTATGATGTCGATCATCTCTCCATCATGATTGCGCGTATGTTGTGCAAAGTTTCTTATGTTCTCTTTCAATGACTGGTATGCAAGTCCATTGAATAGGAAATCTTGGATGCTCGAGAAGGCAGGCATGAGCGTCGAATCGAGCTCATCCAGACCGATAGGCTCGAGTCGCTGCAATGACCCAGAAACGTGCTCGTCGTTGGAGAGGACATCCCCGGAACTGAATTTCTCTTCGATATCGTAGTGTTCGTATATTCGTGATGAGATGTGTCGTAGGCGACGTCGCAGAAATGCGCAGGCATGGTATTGCGGAGTGGAATCAGCCTCAGCGCGTAGATCACTCTCGAAGGCTGCTAGGAAGAATTGCACATCCTTAACCTGTCTCCCAATCGGTATCTCAGGTTGAAAGCACAGCAGCCTCTCCCACCTCAACTCAGGGTCCTCGATCAGGACTTTTAGTATCTCCGCGACGGTGTCTTGCCCATCGGTTGCGATAAAAGACGTACATCTACTTAACGCAATCGAGGTGGAAAAGATGCTCTCATCATCACTCAAGCTCACATCTGTATCTGAGGCATCATCAACAATATCTGACTTCTCTATGGATACTGCGTGTTCTTCGGCCCTGCTGAGTCCATGTGTGGAACAGGAGTATCCTACCAGAATCGTCTTCTCTTGAATGCCGTGACCCCGCTTACCCAACGCTGCACAGGGGTCGATCGCATGCTTGTAGTACAAGCAACGACAAACAGAATATCTTTCAACGACCTGGTAGCACATTCAAGATCGCGGTTGGAGTGTTGAGTGCTGTGTGCTTGAAAGGCTGACTGCGGGGTACACTAAATGGCCGCGTGACGAGCCAGTCCGCGTAGCGAGCCACCCCACCAAGATCGGACGATCAAAAAGATGAGGTTATTGAGCCACGTACAAAAGCTATTATCGTGAGATTTTTTAGTGTAATAGTATATTGAAGCTTCTAAAGCGTTTGTACTACTTGTATCTCGCTGGCGTCTTGATTTGGCGGGTGTGCAGGCCAAATCTGGGTGGGGAGGGCGCCCGAGGCGGACTCTCAACCACCCGACTTGATGGAGCAACAACACGACGACGCTTTGTCGGTTTTTTTGCTGGCTTGTGTGAGGCTTCTCGCTTACGCTTATTTGCTGTATCGTGAGATTTTTTTGGTGTTGCAGCTTGTTGTTGCTGCTTTTTGAGCTCTCGCGCGGCAGCTTTCTCCTCACGCTGCCGTAGCTGCTCCGCATCCTTAGCAATTTTGGCTTGTTGACGAGCCACCTTTGCAGCTTCTTGAGAGCGCTTTTTCTCAGCTGCTTCTGCTGCTTTGATCTCTCTATCGCGAGCTTTTTGGAGTTGTAGCTCCGCGGCTTCGTCCAGTTCTGCGGCCTTGCGCGCGCGCTCGCTGGCAAGCTTCCTAGGACTGTAGAATACAGCTCCGCCGTGCCACTCATCACCTTCTCGTGTAGTCAGTGTTGTAGACTTGATCGGGCGCTTTCGAATGAGGTTGAGCTCAGCGCGTAGCTCCTCGTTTTGGGCGCGGAGAATCTCGTTGTTGACCTGCAGCGAGTGCAGGCCTTGGGATAGCCGTTTGGCTTCAATTTTGGCCTTGTCAGCCACCGCAGCGTCAAAAATTTTGCGCAATTGAGGCCAGCTATCGCCGTCGCCTTGCTCCCCAATTCCTGGGTCGTTATCTTGTTGTTGTGGGTTGTTGTTGAAGCGTTGAAGTACCTGGCTTGCGTCCATCGGCCATACGCCTACAGCTTGAAAACTTTTCACGATGAGATCGTGAGTCATTGTAGAGCTCCACGCCGGCCAAAAGTGACGATAGAAGTCCTGTTTGGTGATCCGGGAGAGGCCTTGGGTACGCTGGAGGTGTTGAGTAAGCTCCTCGGTGTAGTGATTCGAAAGCGGCCCAAAAAGAACCACATCCAACGGCTGTAAGCTGTGGGTTGAATGGGGAGGATACACTATAACCATAATACGTTTGGCTTCACAAAACTCTAAAAAGTCGGGCGTCACGTGGCTGCCGTGCCCGTCAAGGATAAGAAGGCGCCATTGACGGCGAGCTTTGGCTGCTGTATGGCGTTCGAACACCTGTTGAAGCCAGGCAAGACCTAACTCGTTGTTGGACCATCCCGAAGCTGAGTGGGATACAAATATTTGGTGTTGTTGGGTCTCTAAAAGGTCGTGAACCCAGCTTGATTGAACCCCGGAGGTGCCCTGGTAGATGAGAGCGGGCGGCAGTGCATCTCCAGAAGCACATACGCAAGCTAACAGCGTAATCCATTCTCTGTTACCATCTCTCATCGCCTGCGTACGCTCTCCCGACTCCCAAACTGCCTTGGAGAAGATCCTCTTTCTGCGGTTGGCGACACCGACAAAGAAGCCCTTCTCATCCATATTGTACGTATTGCGCTCGTCAATCCCGTGTTCCACCATTTTAGAGTGCAGCAAGTTGAAGTATAACTCGTACTTATGCTTGCTGTCAGCTACCTGACGCTCACGATCGATACCGGTGTCCCATTTGGTGATGAGCTTGTCGGGATGACGACGGCGAAACCGTTTAACCCAGCTATCAGAGACCTCTTGCTGCGCAACAGCGCTTCCGAAATTCTTCAAAATACCCCGTGTAGGCGGTAGACCATCTCTTGTAGCTCTCTCTATGTGACTGCAAACCTCCTCCTCTTGTTGTGGGTTGAGTCGTTGTTGATTTGCTATTTTGGCTTCACGGGAGCCCTGCACGCCCTTGTGCCGCCGCGACAGCGTTGTTCGATCAACACCAAACATTTTTGCAACTTGGCGGTACGAGAAATTATCTCCAGCTTCACGCGATTCTAAATATCTAATTGCTTCATCAATCGGTTGCATGGTTGTTGAGTTATGACACGTTGAAGATGGGACGACGCGCAATGTTGGGATGGTGGGGTGGCTCGCTACGCGGACTGGCTCGTCACGCGGCCATTTAGTGTAAGCTCACAGCGTAGGCAACAGCCTGCCATACAAGGGTCACTCTTACAGCAAGTTCGACAATAACCTTTCCCTAATCTTGTAAGGCCATAGATTCTACAATACTTCCGAGCTTGAACTGTAAAAGGCAGTACTCCATGTCAATTTAGATGCCCGTTTATGATGAAGTAGCTGCGCATTAGCACGGCAGACTTCCTACCCATCGTCACCTACATGGTAAACTGGTCAACTATCTAAGATTTCGTGTATTGAGGAGCGCCTTTGATGTGGTGCGTCCAAACTGCCAACAACGTCCCAGCTCATTCCATGATTTGATGGCGCAGTGTTATACGAATCCAGTGAAGGGTTTCAAACTAATCGCAATCGCCCATGACTACCTTCTTCTGCGCCTTTAATGGATGCTGTGACGGGTTGATCAGCACCTTCATCCATAATTAGCAAATCACAGCCAACATCAATCTGTACCCATAGCCGCCTGGAACATCAACCCCATACGCAGCCTCTTATTCCGAAGCTCACAGTTCCGATAGCATGTGTTGTTTTAACCGATGCCCCACGCCTCCTCCGCGTCCAATTTGTTTCGGCAAGCTACTCTTAGTGAACTGTCACTCTGCTGCTAACAAGGCCTTCTAGTGCCAGCGGGCAGATATACCCATGTCCCAGTGAACGCTCACCCCACAGGCAAAAGTACGAGACGCGTACCTAGAAGCGAAAGATATACCAGTGGCAGTGGCTTGGAAGAGCATCGAGGCCGCCATGTGATTCCTCCAATACCATCACACAGGGGCCACGCTACTGGTCAGAGCGGCTCTGGGAATGGTGCTCCTCGTCGAAGAAATCATGGCGGATCAAGAAACCATCGTAAGTGACATGTTCAGCAAATGCCTTCGTACTGTCCAGCATCGTGCCGGCACCTGTTCTTCCATTTGTCCTTTTAGTCACTGCGCGCAAGTATAAGATTGATCCTGGGGCTTCCCACCCCCTTTGGATACCTAAGACACGTTCGATAAGACAATATGGCTCGAGATCTGTCTACAGCACCATCGAAGCCAGGAGAGCGTACAAGGAAGTTCCAACAGCGCAAGCACCTTACCTCTTACTGGGAAGTCCTAGGTGATAAGTTGCGGGCTCGTAAAATGAACAAGGAGAAGAAATCCAAAGCCTCTGGGGCAGAGGAGGAGGACAGGTCGCATCGTACATTGTGCCTCGTAGTAAGCAGTGACGCAAGAGAGAGCTGACCATGAGGCAGATGGCCATACAGACGGCCCTCTATTTTTCCCGCAACATAGTAACAACCGTGAAACGGACGACGATGACATGGTACCACCGCAGCTATTCCGCAATGCACCCAATCAAGCACCGCAGGGGGCATTCTTTGGCCAAGGGCAGGCTCGATCGCACCACCACCACCAGCAACAGCAGCCTCAGTTCCACTGGATGCCCACCATGGCTGACGGTCGAGGGCTACAAAGCGGAGAGATGGAGGCGCATTTGCAGCGAGGAGGGCAGACGGAGTATGGCGAGCGACCACGAGGGCAGGGTCCCAGCGTGTATATTGATACTGAGGCTCCTGTTCCTAGAAGGGCTCGGAGCGGAGGTACGCCTAGTCGGAGGCAGTCTCAGCACCCTTGGGAACCAGAGACGCGGCATTACGAGCAAGAGCGAACAAGAATGAGATGATACTGAAGAAGCGAGGCGTGATGAGGGTTGAATCTAAGGTGAAGTAGGCTGCAAGGTGCGACAAGTGCCTATGAGCCAACCTTGTCAGCTATTCTTTGTAACGTGTATCCAAGTCTATCATTTTCGAGTTAGCCAACCATATCGCACGACGGCATATCCCAAGGCGCATGTGATGTGTGGCGTTAGTGACAGACTGAAAGAAGGGTGAAAGAAGAACAGTGGAGAGCGGCCTGAATGCCGCGCAGTGGAATTCTGGCCGGGCTTATCGATTAGCCCTGGGCGCATTTCCAAAATTTCCACTGGCACCTCGACACCAACAACAACAACCACAAAAGAGCACCCAGAATGCCGAAACGAAAGCGCGAGTCGCCTGCTCCTACCGCAAAGCTTCCTCCAGCTTCCCTAGCCACGCCTGCGAAACAAGCCAAGAGCTGCCAAAAGTGCCTCGAAGCTGCGCAAAAGCCGCTTCTCGCAGCGCTGAAACATGGTTCCTCGCTGGAGCGCCAGAAACATAGTCGCAGGAAGAAGGAGGCGCAGAAGAAGGGCGACCAGAAGGCAATTTCTCGCCTGGATGCCGAATACCAAGTCTTGAAGGCGCTGAACCTGGAGCAGCTAGGCGATCAGCATTTGCGCAAGACTCTGGCAAGGGTCAAAAGCTTGAAGGACGCGGAGCCACTACAAGAATACATCGCTGGTATCAGGGAGGGAAGCAAGGACACCAGTACTCTCAATGTCACCGCGAGGTTGTTCAAGGTGGTGCATGTGAAGAAGGTGGTGGATGGTGTCGTTGAGGACTTGAAGAACATTTTGGGAGCCGGCAAAGCCAAGGACAGCAACCAGAAGGAGGAAGGGGACAAAGTCATCAAGGCGGAGGGTGCGAAGAAGCAGAAGGATGACAAGAAGGCGAAGAGCTCCAAGTCTGCCCAGACAGAGGACGTGGAGATGAAGGACGCAAGCGACGAGGGCGACGATCCATACATGGCTTTCAGCGCGCGGATAGCTGCGCCATCTTCAGGCGAGGAGGGAAGCGAGGGCTCAATATCGGACGACGATCGACCCCCAAGTATCGGAGACAGCGAAAGCGAACGCGACCCCGACGACGATCTCGAGGCCGAGAGCGC